CCCTTGCACCTCCCTCCGCGAGAAGATCATCAGGGATCTGCATGGGGGTGGATTAGCAGGACACCTCGGGAGAGACAAAATGATCGAAGCAGTCAAGGGGTGTTACTACTGGCCTAAATTAAGGAGGGATGTGACCACTATTGCGAGTACTRGCCTCTACATGCCTCTACCTGTTCCTACTGCGATTTGGGAAGACTTGTCCATGGATTTCATGTTAGGCTTGCCAAAGACTCCAAGAAATATGGATTCCATCTTCGTAGTGGTTGACCGGTTCTCCAAGATGGCTCATTTCCTCCCATGCAAGAAGACCGCAGATGCAACAGTGACAGCTAAGCTATTTTTTATAGAGATTGTCCGTTTACATTGGGTACCTAAGACCATCACATCGGACCGAGATACAAGGTTCTTAAGTCACTTCTGGATGACCCTATGGAAACTATTTGACTCATTATTAAATTTCAGTAGTATAGCTCATCCACAGACATATGGACAGACAGAGGTGTTGAATCGAACCCTAGGTAACTTGATCCGCAGTATCTGCAGGGAGAGACCGAACCAGTGGGATTTTGCCATAGCACAGGCAGAGTTCGCCTACAACAACGTAGTTCATAGCTCTACAAGTAGATCCACGTTTTCAATTGTTTACATGAAGGTACCTAACCATGCGTTGGACTTAGTGAAGCTACCCAGAGTACACGGCCTTAACACTTCTGCAAAGCAGCTAGTAGAACAGATCCAGTCAGTACAGGAAGAAGTACAACAGAGACTAGAAAGGACCAATGCAAAGTATAAGGTTGCAGCTGATAGGCATCGCAGGCACCAAGTGTTTGGCATCGATGATGAAGTCATGGTGTTCTTAAGGAAGGAACGCATACCCGTGGGGAAACATAGCAAGCTATAGCCTCGGAAGTACGACCCATACAAGATTATTAAGAAGATCAATGACAACGCTTACATAGTGGACTTGCCAGATCACATGGGTATCTCCAAAACTTTTAATGTTGTTGATTTTCATCGTTACTTACCGGAGACAACACTTGCATATCCCAGTCATGACTCGAGGTCAAGTTCTTTCCAAGTGGGGGAGAATGATGGAGGACCAGCTCAACAACCAGCGACAATCCACGCCGCTCACGCCTAGAGAGTCCTTACGTGATCCAACAAGCCCAGGATAATGTCGACAACCCACATATCCAACCTGCATTGGATGATGGTGGCTATCGGACGGTGGACTATCGGATGGTGGACGTCAAGTCCAATTCCTAGTTGTTTTAGTTGTTTTACTTTCCTAGTTATTCTACAAGACTACTAGTATGTATTATAAATAGTTTTGTTCTGAGTTTAATGAGACACACAAGAATTTTCTTTTAGCAATTCTCTCTACTTAGGCTCTACGCCTAGCTCTTTACGYGAGGCTTCAAGTCCAAAGCCGACTCGATCGTCTGGGTGCTTGTGTAGTTAGCTCGGTCGAGTGCGCCACGCTGCGTCARCGGGTGTTTCAATTTTGGGTTTAAAGGGAAGCTAAATATTATTGTAAACTGGGCCATGTTCTAGGGCGCGGGCCTAGGCAACCAGGCGGGATTGGGCATTTGGGTTTATTAACTAATAAAATAAAATAAATATTAATTAATAATTAAGCATTAATAATTAAATTACTATGTATTAATATTAATTAATTAACTAATTATTTAATTAGATAATTAAATAAAAATTCAATAATATAAACAATTATTGATTAAAATAATATTTAATATTTAATTAATGAATCATTAAATAATCAATTAATAAAATGAATTAATTAATTAATTAATTAATGAAATATTTTATCTTTATATTTAAAGTAAAATATAAAACAATACAAAAAATATTTTATCTTTAACCTAAGTCTAGTATTAATAATACTATTTAACTTAGTCAATTTACATGTTAAGGAAAACCCATGCTTAACAAAGTTTGTAAACATTGCTAGATACTAGGGGTGAGCAAATGAGTAGGTTCTACATGGATCCAAATGGAACCAACCTCGAATCGGCCTTGAATCGATCCTACCCAATTTATTACAAGATAGGGTCTAGTTCCATTCTTGGAACCGATCCCCACCCAGACCGTTCTAAGGTCTAAGGGTTTATCCCATTCAAACTGACCTTGGTTGGCCTTGGTGGAACTAGGGCCGTTAATTGGTCGGGGCCCGACCCAGTGGACCCAAACCGATTGGGCCGTTTTTTCCTAGAACCAATGGGTCGATTCCAGGTCCTAATATAGTGTCCTAATTAGTATCAATTTGGAATTGGTTCCATCTAGTCCCGACCTGAGCTATATACAAATAATATATATAATGTAATATAAATTATATATAATATACATATAATATAGAATGTATAATATATAATATTTAATATATATTAAATGTATATATCTATTTATTTATTCTAATCAAGTCCATCGGGTTAGACTTGATTATCTCGAGAACCAATTGGTTTGCATCAAATGGATTGGTATTGTTATGGATGCAAACAGATCGGATCGGATTTGAATTAGGGTTTATCTGAATCCAATCCAACACTATTCATGTCGGATCCAACTTGATGATCCAATTGGATCTAATAGGCCTCGATCTGAATTCAAATCCTATTGATAAGTTAGATCTTTGGATATGATCCAATCTGACTTGTTTTCTTTAAAAATTAATAAATTATWAAAAGAAAAATAAATTATTCTATTTTAAATAAAGAAAAACAAAAATAAAAGTATTTTTATTTATTTTCATTATATAGCTTTAATGCCGGCTTTAATGGATACTAAAATGGTCATATTTGTGTATTTAACCAATCTCTAATTGTAAGGGTTGAAACACCTCATTTAATCCCCTCTCGTTAAGTCTTATATTTAAGGTATTAAATCTCATTTTCTCTTTTTAAATCTTATATTTTTAAGTTATTTTCACCAATAAATGCTACTAATTGAAATTATGCCAATATTTTTAACAATATACACCCATATATTTTAAAAATGACTAAAACACAAAACCACTACCTTCTTTCTAGAAGATGTGAAACGTACCTCTCATGATATTAGAGGAAAAGAATCAGAAAACATATATATAACTGGATCCACAAATGCAAATTGATTTCCAGATTAGTTATAGATAGATAAGATATATACCAATTTAAAATCTCCCAACTTGTTCTTAACACAGACCCCGCTCCGCTAGTTTTACTCTAAAACAATAGATATAAATAGGTACGGCCTAGTAATAAAGAAAACGAAAAAAATGAAGGATAAAATAATTATGTGATCTAAAATATGGTTTTCAAAATCAGTCCGGACTGGACGGTCGGACCGAAAAAACTGGGAATTGGTCAGGTGATCGATTTTATTTTTCCCTAATATCAGATTTTTGCAAAAAAACCGTTGATTTGGTTAGCAAACCATATACCCAGGCGGTTGAAGCATTTGACAGTTTTGACCATTTTTTATTTTTTTGTCAGAAYGGGCCGACCGTTTGGTAAGAATGATCGGACCATTCGACTCGAGAACCGGACCCCTGACCGGTTCAGTCTCTAGGTCAGTTTTAAACACCTTGATCTAAAATACCATTTGTAGAGAAATAGAATTGCAAACTCCTATCCTTTATATGGGAAGAGTGCAAGATATATAATCAATGCAAGTACAAAATTGCAAATACAGAATTTTTCTGTCAGCAGTGGACGTATTTGTCTACATCCCTTGTCTTCTAATATTTATGATTAATTATTAATAATTCTAAAAAATAAAAAATATTAAACATGGACCCCTTTAATAAATAACTCATCCTGAATGAAAGAAGAAAACTGAATCTGGTCACTCGTGATTATTGATGGAATAGGGGCATGCATTACATTAACATACAAACAGAGAGAGATGCCTTTCTCCTTCACTTGGGGTGTAACCCCAGTTTATTATGAAACACAGGATATATCAGACCTCCATAAATGAAAAATATTATGTGCAAGTAGTAAAAGAAGATGCATGCTTGTTAAAAAGAATTGGCTTGAGAAAATTACCTGGAGCAATATAACCATGCGTTCCAGCAAGAGATGTACAATTGGCTGAATTGAGCTTTAGAAGTTTAGCAATGCCAAAATCAGAGACACGAGCTTCATATTCTAAATCTAGCAAAATATTCTTGCTAGAAATGTCTCGATGAACTATTGGAGGTAAGCAGTCATGATGCATGTATGATAAAGCATTGGCTACAGCTCTAATCACATTTATTCTCTTGCTCCAATCCAACTCCTTTGCATGCTCCATACTACCAAGTACCTTTGCCAAGCTTCCTCTCTCCAAATATTCATAAATAAAAAATGAGCAATTCGCATGTGAACAGAAACCATAAAGCTTGACAATATTCCKATGTCGTATTTCAGTTAATGCACGAATCTCATTTCTAAAAGATTTTGGGACAATCATGTCGCCATATCCATTTGAGGCATGCTCCAATTTCTTTATAGCTACAATTTGGCCTGTAGATAACATTGCTCTATAAACATTTCCAGATCCTCCCATCCCAATGCAATATCTGGCACTGAAATCCTCTGTGGCCTCTATGATCTCATGATAGAGTATTTTTCCATCATAATTCCATATCTGAAACAGATCCGTCTTATTCATTGCTTGTACTACTTCATCTCTCAAAACTTGTTCTTCACCAACAATCTCTGTGTCTCTGGTTTTTCTATGAATAATATGGTAAGCAATTCCAATAAATGTGAATATAAGAAACGTTGCACCCAAAAGAGAAAGTAGTGTTGAGATCAAAATCACCATTTTATTTCCATTCCTCGTCGGAGAAGAAACGCAAGAAGTTAAGCCTTCTATGTTTCCACACAAATCCTTGTTGTTCATGAGAGCTTCCATTGTAGCATTTTGAAAGGCTTTGTTTTTGGGAAGAGGACCCTCTAGCTCATTGAATGATATATCAACGGATGTCAAGCTAACCATTTCATCAAATGAGGAAGGAATCAAACCAGAAACTTATTGTGAGAGAGATTTAGATTTTCCAAAGATGTCAGGTGGCCAAGTTGTGAAGGTATTTCTCCTGTGATATTGTTTTCACAAAGATCCAATAAATATTGGAGATGAACAAGATTACCAATTTGGAAAGGAATATTTTCACTAAATCTATTTCTCTTGAGATTCAGATATATTAGTTCGACGCAGTTCCCTATTTGTTCAGGTATTGGACCACTCAAAAGGTTGTTTGATAGGTCAAGACGTTGTAGCTTGGACAACATTTCAATTTGCACAGGTAACCTACCAGAGAGTTGATTATTTTCCAAACTCAAGTTGTTCAGAGATACCATCTTTCCTATTTCTTTTGGGATCTCTCCCTCTAGATGGTTTGATGAAAGGTCAAGAATGCCCAAATGAGTTAACCTCCCAAACCCAGATGGTATCCTGCCAGTGATCTTATTTGCAGACATTCGTAGATCTGTTAAACTTGAGCAATCTCCCCAGTTTTGTGAGAGCTCACCATACAATTTGTTATGGCTTACGTCAATGTAGTCCAAATTTGGGTACACGCCAAAAGCCTCTGAAACATTTGAACTGAATTGGTTGTTTTCAAGTCGAACTCTGACCAAGCTTCTGCAATTTCTCAGGCTTTCTGGAATGGGTCCTCCAAAATGATTGGTATGTACTATGAATCTGCGAAGTAATCCACCCTTGCATATATGTGGCGGAAAATGACCAGAGAAATTGTTTAAATACAGATGTACTGAAACCAACTTTGTGAGATTGCCTAATTCATGAGGAACGGAACCTGATAGATGGTTATTTGACAGTTTTAGCCTAACAAGATTTTTCAAATTTTCTATTTGTTGAGGAATGGGACCAGATAGCTCATTTCTATTAAGGAATAGTCTTGTCAGGTTGCTTAAGCTACACAGAAATGCTGGAATGAAACCTGATAATGAATTATTAGACAGATCCAAGCTGGTGAGCTTGGTCAAGTTTTCCAAAGCTGAAGGAATGGACCCTGTTAGATGGTTAGTAGACAAATTGAGATCTTGAAGATTTGTCAAGTTTTCTATTTCTGGAGGAATAGGACCAGACAAGTGATTTTGATACAGGTAAAGAACAGTCATGTTACTCAAATTGCCCAATGATGCTGGGATGGAACCATTCAAGTGATTTTGGTGGAGATACAAAATTTGGAGAGTTTCAAGGAAGCTGATTTCTTGTGGGATACCTCCGGAAAACTGGTTGATAGACAAATCAAGGTAGGCGAGTTTGGGAAGTTCACTGGTGTGGGAAGGAATAGTACCAAAAAGGCTATTATTGGAGAGATTAAGATGGGAAAGACCCAGGAAGGAAGAGAAGCTGAAGTTGAGTAGTGTACCTTTCAAACCCATGTTTGGTAGGCTTATTTTCGTGATGCTTCCATTAATGTTGCAAGCAATTCCTGTCCAATTGCATGGATTGAATAGAGAAGAAGAAATTGTGACATTGTAGTTACTAGGAACAGATTGTCCCCAAGRTGGGAGAATAGACTTGGCTTGGTTGGAGAGACTGGATTTCCATTCAAGGAGAGCTTTTGCTTGTTCTACCATCATACTAGTAGCAGAAGTGGTAGGAGAGGCATAAGAATGGAAAGAAGAAACATTTAGCAATAGAAACACTAAGATTACTGCAAATGATTTCACAAAAATGATTATGGGATTCAAGTTTTAGGAAGGACACACAAGGAGGGCTAGCCATGAGGCTAGCCATGATCTTGCTTGTAATTGAGAAAAACAAAGAAGGTGTGTGTGTTGCATGCCAAAGGGAGGTGAGAGTTTTATAATGGTACATTTGGTTGTCGTGGCTGAGATTTTTAACAGGGTGGTAAATTATATCAAACTAACACGTACAAACATTAATAAATATCATGCACAAGTAGGTAAATTAACGGGGTGTATGGTTGCATGATTTTTCATGGCTATACTATAATATTTTCCACTCCTATCTTTTCTCCATGTCCTTGTGTAATACTTTTAACTATTAGATGACAAATGGCAATGCATAACGGGCCCAATATAAAGTAGATCCCGTGCATGAATTCTAATTAATGCACTCAACTACTTAGGAGGGGTGTTCTTTTTCAAATAAAAATTTAAATTAAATGGGAGTGATACCCACTACTAGAACTGGATGTTAACATCTGAGCAAGCAGAACATGCAAGTAAGAAAAAGTATAAAACAAAAGCCTTTTTTTATTTAATGAAGTATCCTCGGTATGGGAGACCAGGATCGATCTAGTAAGGTATATCCTTGTGAGGCACTCAATAAATATTTTTACAGCTGTGTTATAAGTTTGTTTGAATCATTTCAAGGGTCAATCAGAGGCTTTTATGAGATAAGTGTCAAGAAATTTATCCATCTACTTATTTAGTGTGTTCATAGAGTGTGCCTACTAAGATCTAGAGACTACCTTAATGTATTTCTGTTTTTAAAGTTATGTAACTTACATTGACGAAAATGTTGGAGTTGTACTATTTTTCAATCTCTTCTTTAGGTTGGTTGTTAAGGTGAGTTTTACATATAAAAGGTTTTCTTTGTACGTAAGGTTTAAAAGTGAGAAAGAAAATTTATATTTTTTTTCTTGTAGAGGAAAAAAAAAAGTTGGGAGAAAGTGGGTGCTCTTAAAGTGTATTTTTTTTTGTTTTTATTTCTTGTTTTGTTACGAGTACTTAAGAGGAGAAAAAGCGAACAGGTGTACAAGAATTGAGGGTTGTTTTTAGTTGTAAATCACAAAGTACTTATACTATTTCTCATCTTTCTTGCATAATGAAGAACAATTTTCGTCTCTCCCATGGATATATGACTGAACCACATAAGTCCTTTATATTCTTGGTAGTAGGGCTTTCATGAATCGGCAAACTTTATTTACTACCAAGGAAATTTTAGGACGAGTGATAGTCAACCCTAACCCTCAAGCCTCAACCTCAACTTTTCTCAGATGTTCAAATAGCAATTGATCGACCCACTTTGAGGTCCAAACTGCCACATCTATTTATAGCTCAACCTTGAATCTCAAATACACCTAGGGATGTCAATGGACCAATTTTGGGTTGGACACTTTCCAAATCAAAATAAATTTGGAAGATTGGATGGAACAATAAAACATATTGAATTGGACCAGTCCAGACTTAACGGATTTATATTGGATTGGGTCAGATTGAACAAATATCCTCTAATCCATTGATAGAAAATAAGAAGACAGGTGTCAATGTCATCATGCCCAACACCACAAAGCCCAACAAATATCCTCTAGTCCATTCTCAAGCCTGCACGAAGCTAACCTTTACTATACCTTCTTCTGTAAACCCTTTTAAAACTTCTACAGAGCCCAACACCACAGTTGAAATTGCAATCATGTTACTGGAGAAACAGAGGTTTGTGGTCATTTGAGGAAGCATGAACTTTTGTTATCCTATAGTTCTGAAGGATTGCTTCTCATAGAAACTAGAGAAACAAAGGTTTTCATGTGGAGAACTCTAAGGCTTATTTGAGATATCTGCTTAGGTTCAGATCATGCAGACCTGGATCAGATTCAGATTTAATTCAAGTCTACTTTATATATCTTTAAAACAAATAAAAAACTAAAATATGAAAAAAAAAGTTAATTGCTTTTTAACTTATACAAACATACAAACATACATACATGTATGCATGGCAATTACTTGTATCATTCCAGTCCTATCAGTTTGACTAATCAGAACACCCCAAGTGAATTTTGATGAATACTAGTTACTAATAAAAAAAAATGATGAATACCAGTTGACTGGATACCACATCTATAAGACCATTAGAAAGAGCAGTGTTAGTATCTGCTATTATACTGAGCTGTAAATGGTGTTTCATCTACATCATCCTCAAATTTCTTTTACTACAAAAAAACAGGTGACCGCCGGCACAAACTTCACAAACTTTACCGATTCAAGTGATTATGTATTTTGTTAGGTAATTTTTGAGTCCTGAATAGTTTAGTAAATAGATGTTGGTCTTGTTCCAGTAAAGCATGATTTCATATTTGGTTATGACCTAGATATAGATGAAATAAGTACTGTTTGGGAGGTAAGCAATAAGCTTCTCCTTGTTCCCTTTCTTTTCCCTCGTCATTTATCGGGTTATAAATTTCTATTTTGAAGGAGTTAAAAATTCATGAGGTGAAACTTCTTGTCAGGTCTTGGAGAAGCTTGATCGCCCTATCTTGTATTATCTCTCTCCTAGAACTAGTGTAACACCTACCATGGCGAAGGATATAAGCGGTCTTGTGAACATGTACAGAATAACAGGGGATGATTGGGATTCATGGGGCAATGTGGCAGCTCACTTTAACATATCAAGGCAAACTGCTGTTCTTTAATTTAGTTTGATTATTTTTTTTTTTTTTAATTTGGCTTGAAATTTCCAACTTAAGCTCCATGTTTCAATGTTCCATCTCTCTTTATCAGCATCTTATATTTACTGTTTTAACAGGGACTTCGCTGCCACCAATATGATAGGAGCAAATGGGTTGAAAGGGAAGTCTTGGCCAGACTTAGACATGCTACCACTAGGGTGGCTTATAGATCCATAGCTAGGAAAAGGTACCTTGTAAAGGTTTTCCTATCTTTTTCATCAAACCACTATAGGAAAATGGAGAATGGAGGTATAACTATAGACCTTTGGTTACGGTCAGAAAACCGTAGCTAAAACATGGGATATAACCACGAACAACTTAATGTCCGTGACAAAAAGTTGAACTTTAGCTATGGATAATTTTTCCGTGGTTAAAAGTTATTTTGTCCGTAGCTAAAAGATATTTATAACCACAGTTATAATGTATCCGTGGCTATAAGTTACAAAAGTAGAAGTTGACCTTTACTTATGGACAATTTGTTTGTGATCAAAAGTTGAGCTTTAGCTACGGTCCGTGGTTAAAAGTTATTCTGTTCGTGGCTAAAAGATATTTATAACCACGGTTCTATTGTATTTGTAGCTATAAGTTACAAAAGCAGAAGTTGAGCTTTAACTATGGACAATTTGTCTGTGGTTAAAAGTTATTCTGTCCGTGGCTAAAAATATTTATAGCCACGGTTATAATGAATCCGTGGTTATAAGTTACAAAAGAAGAAGTTGAGCTTTAGCTACGGACAATTTGTCCGTGGTTAAAAGTTATTATGTCTGTGGCTAAAGAGCTATTTATCACTATAGCCACAGATAACTAAAATTCTGTGGCTATAATTACGAAGTTAATCATCTTTAGATATAATCATTTATTCCCAGCTCATAAATAATAATCATATAATATTCATTTAAATATTTATTATTTATTGATTACTTTTTATAGTAAATTAATAATTAAGAATTTATTAAAGTAAATGAATATAATTAATAATTAATAATTAACAAATATTAGCTCATTACTATTACATAACAATAACAATTAATGATTTTTATTTAATAATAATTAAAGTAGAAATTAAATTATTAATAATTTCATAAGTACATTAGTAAAAAGAAAATAATTTCTAAAATAGAAATAAATAAGTATTAATTATTATTTGACTAATTAAAAATAATCATCAAAAATTATTTTAATTATTTAACTAAATTAATGATTAAAAGAAAATAATAAATTAAATATGAAAAACACTAATAGTAAATTAATTAATTACCTATGAATGAAAATAATATTGACAATTAAACTAAATTATTTAAATTCATAAATAAATTATTAATAAAGTAATAGCTATACAATATAGATAAATAATTATTAATTCTTATTTTATTAATTAAATAATAATAATAATTTATTTAATAAATTATTCCAACCGCTTTACTAATTTTTTTGCCTCAATGTGTAATTTTTAACTTTTTTATTTGTGAAAGATGAAAAACTAAAATAAAATATAAATAAATCAATATATATATATATATATATTCTACATATTTCAAAACAACATTGTTTATTCCATATACAATAAAACATATAACACTAACCAATGTTTAGAAAGTTGGACGAGAGCAGCTAGTCAGATTATTGTTAAACCATGACCCAACCCTTAACCAATTCGATCATACACCTAATGCTATTTACTCCCAAAAAAAATTAACAACCCAAAACCATCCAAAAACCGGTCTAACTCAAGAAGTAATGAATTGGTCTTGGCTAACTTTTTTTGCTACCTATATGTTTTAAAGTACTGAAGGCACCTTACCTTGCTATTTTTGCCATAAAACAAGGGTGATCATTTTAGCGAGTTGGAAAATTTCGCTCTTGGACCTAGATTTTGTGTTTAAGCCCTAGTCGAGGCTCGGACCCTCATTAGAGCCTCAAATTTTAGGGTTGGGCATAGCCCTAATACTTTAAATCCGCCTTGGGCTTAACTTGATCCATATATATTTAACTAAATGTATATTTTAGATAATATATGTTATTTTATATTGCATAGAAATACGGTATTGAATGGGTTAGGTTTGACCTGACGAACCCAATGTTCATGAACTGATTAGGTTGGTTATGGTTCTAGGAGTCGGAACCAATGAGGTAACTCTGGTTACGGATATATTGTCCCGATTATTA